GGAAAGGGATGTCACACAGACGGTGAAGAGTATGTTGGAGTGTGTTGATAAATGTCCAATTCATACATCATGTGCTGTTCTTGAAATATTATTATGTTACAAAGGATGTGGTGAAATAGAGTTAGACATCCCGAGCGTTGTGACACAGCAAGTTTTTGATCAATTGCAAAAGTATATCGAAATTGAGACGGTTTCAATTCTCATCGAAACGTTGCACATTTTATTAGAGATGTGCAAGAAAGAAAAGTTCGAGGAACAAGCTGACAACGACGCAGAAGATTTAGAAGGAGGAATTGCTCAAACCGTGCGGATCTTTTAAAGAAATGATTGAAAATACATTTTAAGTGTTTGAGTTATGACTGAGGCATTTCGATATAATTGAATTGTGTTGTTCTTGAACTTGATATATAAAACTATATTTCTAATAAAAAATATTTTATTTTTTATTCTATTTTATTATTATTAAATTGGAATGATAATAATAATTTAGTAATAAAAATTATTTTAGTTTATACATAATACATTGTAATAATGTTACTTATATTAGTTCAACTTATTAATTAATTAATTATTATAACTGACATAGTACATTAAATAATTAGTGATAGTATTTTGAACTTTCTTAGTGAACCACAAAAGAAGTAAATAAAATCGAAAATCACATGAAAAACAAATCAATCACTTTTGAGGAGCTTTTGGCTTCGTTGCAGCAGCTTTTCTTTTAATTTGAGCTATTAGTTAATAATTAGTTTAATTTACTAGTTAAATCAAGATGATAATCATTAGAACAAACATTTAACGACAGCTTTGACTTTCATTCGTGGTGTGTCATCGATTAAGTAAGTATCCAAATTAAGCGTTTCTGGCAATATAATATTTCTAATGTTATTTCCTCTTATGGTCGATTGGTCCAGTGTAATAGGGTTTTTTCCTTTTGGTGTGAGTTGCACGACTTTCAGATGAATGTTCATGTAGTTATCAACTCCAACGACAGTACCGGTAACTATCGACCCATCTTTCAACTCAATCGTCAAGACTTCATTTGTTAATCTCATGAGGAACCTTGTCAGCTTCATCTCAGTATGTTCTTTTTTAGTTTAAAATGGTAAAAAAAGTACTAATAAAATAGTAATTCCAATTAGTATTTCATTAATAGTAAAATATACTAATAGAAGGAGTTTTATAGTAAAACCATCTCAAAAAGTTAAAACGTTTGATGAACCCAATAAACCCAATGGGAAACCCATATTATCCATATTACCCATACGACCCACTTCAAATGCAAATGTACGGATATCAACCAATGCCTATGCAACCTATGTCTTACCCTTTTATGTATAACCCAATACAACAACCCCCTCCCCCACCTGTTGCTTTACCACCAGAACCAGCACCTCAAGAAGACGCAAAAACCCTTTTTGTGGGTAATTTGCTTCCCGGAATGGCTTCGGAGCTGATCGGGATCTTCTCGGCGTATGGAGAAGTGCTGAACACTGTTCAACCGAAAGGAAAGAACTACATGTTCATCCACTTCAAAGACGCGGAGTGCGCAAAGGAGGCGAAGGATGAGATGAATAACAAGAACTACGGAAACACCATTCTGAAAGTCAATTTTGGTAAACAGACGCAACCTCCGGTCCAACCCCCTGTCAATTTTGCACAACAACAATACCAACAAATGCAACAACAGCAACACTTTGCAATGCAACAAACGAATTACGAGAAGCGAGAAGAGAACGTTGAATATAAGCCAAAAGAAGAAGAGAGAGTTGGTATTGAGCCAACGAAGACGTTATGGATAGGGGGGTTGAACAACAACGAAATGGCTGTCTTCCCGCAACTCACTGCATTTGGTGAAGTTGAAAAGATTCGAATAGCGAGAGCGAAGAACTGCGGGTTTATCGAATTCAAAAACGTTGAAGACGCGAAGAGGGCGATTGACAATAAGATCCATACACTCTCGGAAGAGTGCGGGGTTCGAGTGAGATACGCTCGAGACGTCATGCCACAAAGTCGGCTTTGGTTTCCGGATATGCCGAGCGAGTTTTTACTTCCTGCGGATCTTCCTGTGAAACCCGTTGAGGAGGACAATATCAAAGAGTCGACGAAATACATAGTGAAAGTGTTGTGTGAGTATTTAACTGTGCAAGGGATTGTGTTTGAGCAAGTTGTGAAGAACAAATGCGACAATAACAACAACTTTGAGTTTATGAAAGAGAACAACGAAGAGAACGAATATTATAAATGGAAGGTATTTGAGGCGGTGATGAAAAAATACAATATGAATCCTTTGGTGAAGGACGTCGACGGGTTGGAAGACGATGATATTCCTCCTTGGGTAATGGAAGAGGAGAAGGAGAACAAAGTTGAGAATGATGGGACGCAAGAGGAGAAGAAGATGGAGATGGCGTGAAAGAGTCAAGTTGTTTTTTTTCATTACTTACATTAATTAATCGAAGGTCCAGGGTTTCATTCAATAGATAAACAACATAAACACGTTTGTAGATAATCAGAATAAATAGATAAAAGAACTAATTTATTTCAACAGTCGAGAGAGAAGTAAAGTGGTCGATATTTTCAGGGTTGAAGCGGGAAGGGAATAATGGACAAAACCACTCGAAGACGGTGGAACCCATCACTTCTTTCCAATTGCTTGACTTTGAGAGGGAATAGGAGGGGAAGACAGGGGCTTTGTCATGGGACAAACAGTCATACCGATCCTTTTCTATCTCTTCCATTGATGTTGTGTTACTGAGCACTAAAAGAATGTGATGCACTCCTAATGAAACTGACTGTTATTCTTTTGTAGCTTCTTCTTAATAATAAACAGATAACAAACATACTGCTATTCCCATCGCTATCATCATTACAACAGCAAAGAGAGAGACAACGACGGATATCCCAAAAAAGAGAGTCGGCTGTTCCATCACAGAGGTAAAGACTTTGCTCATGTAGGTAATGTTAATTATTGCCCCAAATAACGCATTCGACGGAAGTAACATCAAAAATTGAATGAAGTACCTCAAGTTGTAAGTCCCAATGCATTGTCCCGTCCAAGGACAGTGGTGCTGTTAATCAGTAACATTTATTGCATCGGAATAAAGGTCGAAGAATAATCAAAAAAAAACGTCATTGGATAAAAGACATTTTTTATTAAAATAGTTAATATGTATTATAAATATAAAATTTGTCCAAAGCTGTACAAACATCCCGCTTCATTATACAGCAGTCACACTTCTTGCAGTGATACGACCTCTCACATCGAAACGCTTGGCAATACACACAATAACGCGCTGGATATCCAATGTCAACCAATTTAAACCCCCTTTCCTTGCAAAAATTGGCGCGCTCTATAGCCTTCTTTTTTTCTTCTTCTGAGCAGTTCGGCTCATACCCGACACACTTCCCCGGGTGTGTGTTAACGACTTTGTAATACGCAGTCATCATGAAGACAAAAGTTGTGAGTGGGAATACCATTACGTACACAAGTGGTGTGAAACATATTGCGATTAGTGTGTGAAAGAAAAAGAAGAGGATGAGTACTGTCGCTATTTTCACCATGACAGTTCCTTTGATGCTTAAATCCTCTCGCGAATTTTTGCGTCTGTAGAGGTAAGGCCCTTTCAATAAGTCCTCTCGGATTTGTGTGAAATTCTCAAGCGACTCTTTCTTGGGCATCTCACTACTTTTGTAGTTAAATAAATTGTTGTTTTTGTTTGTGTTATGTATCTTGAAGTATCATGTATTATCAATTATAATAGAATAAACTATATTTTTTATTTATTTTTACTTTATAGAATGATTCAAATACCTAAGAAAAATAATACTACTAATTATTATTATAATTATTCATTTAAAATAATCATATAATAGTAAAAAACAAATTTATTATAATAATTAGTTAATTAATATTATATAAATAATACCAAGAATTTCTAGTGGAAAGTGAAAAAGGAATACATAAGTCATTTTGGTGACTTTAGTTTGAACTCATTCGACTTGACAAGACAAAGTTAATATTAAAGAAGTTGATTTTTTGTATCCTAATGCACGAACATTTTATAGAGAAATGAACAAACTCATTCGTCTTCTATCAATCCCAAAAAAAGATTTGAAGATGCAAAGAAACTGAAAAAGGAAAAGATGTCGGGGACATGGACTGACAACATGTATATGATCTTCGCAGCCGTTCTCATTCGACCGTCGCCAACACTTCAACCACTCTTCTTGCAAGTCGAGGAAGATTTCTCACAAATGGGATTCTTCGAGAGGATGAACGCGGAAGGGCCGATGAAGTTTTCTTGTCGACAAATTGCTCAGCGGGCTTTGACCAACAAAAGAATGTGTATTACATTACAAGAGCCTTCGACTGTTAAAGGACATGTCTATTCACAACCTGATGGCGTTTGTTAAATACCTTGATACATTCAAATGAATGTAAAACTCACACTTAGCTCTCCGTTGTTGCCATCACCACCAAATCATACCCTGATAGAGTCGCTACAGTTGTTTTAAGTCGAATTATGCAAGCCTTTCGTCAGGTATACCAAGGCCCCAGCTTCCCAACAATCACTCGTGACTTAACTTTTAAGTATCCCGCCGTCACTGCTGTGTTCCAACAATATATCGACCCAAAGAAAGGGGATAAGTTAACTAAAATCCAGACCGACTTGGACGAAACACAAGATATCTTGGTCAAGGCAATGGACGATTTGCTGGAAAGAGGAGAGAAGTTGGACAATTTGATTGAGCAGAGCAACGACTTGTCGACCACTTCTAAGGCGTTTATGAGGCAGGCCGAGTCGATGAATAGTTGCTGTTAACAAATTTATTTGTGTTTTGTAGTGTTGTATTACTGATATTTCTTCTATAATTTGTGGTGGAGAAATGATACTTCTTTATAGTTTCATTTACCATCTGGAAATAGTAAAGATGAGTATCCATTGGAGCACACCATCAGGCGTCCCAGACAAAGTCGAAGAGAACCCGATCGAACCAACGAACTTCAAATTGGACCCAGCACTGTTCGACGTGAAAGTCTTGTTACCAAAAACTACACCAACAGTAATTACTGGGACGGAATTGCCGGACGCAGTTTACGAAATGACGGCTTCGGACGTGAGAGCAATTTGCCTTGAAAACGCCGTTGAGGTATTTAAAACTAAAACGTTTATGGAGAAACAAAGACTGGAGAGGAATACAAAATATAAGAAGACGACTATCAAATTTAAGTTCCCTGACAACTTGGAGGTCAGTCGTAACTTTCACCCACTCGAGTTCGCGGAGGACTTGTATGTCTTTATTAAAGAGTCGATGAAATGTGACGGCAATTTTGTGATCCGTCTGGGAGTGGGAAAACGAGACGTCATAGCGTGTGACAAACAGTCACTTGCGTCCCTCAATTTGGTGCCAGGAGCGGTTCTTCTGGTCACTATACAAAACTTCAAAACAATCACAAAGCCATACCTCAAAGACGATCTTTTAAACATTGCTACACAACGACCATAACTATTTTGTGTTTCTTTGTGTTTAAGTTATCAGTCGCATAGCGTCAATTTTATACATTCCTTTGAATAGTAAATGTTATTAGTATTATTATTATACTTACATAGTATTTAGAAATAAATTCACCATTTACTATAAATTTACTATAAAAAATTTATAATAAAAAGGTAAAAATTTTTGAATAATAAAAATAGTGTTTGGCGTTAAATAATAGATAAAATTCAATAGTTTCGAATGGTTTTTCTTTTTAGAACTAATAGTACACCATTTAAAAATCAAACACCACTAATTGAACGACAAACCATGATTCTAATTAACATTTTGGCTTTACTTGTTGCCGTAGATAGTCACCATGACCCATGCGTCAACGAATTTAGTGCTATGGATATCACTAAAGCGGAGACTCATAACGGTTTGATTCCTCGTCTGCATGTGACATACACCTGCTATTCAGAAATTGAGAATTACCAAATCAAGGTGGCCGCACATCTCTCGAAACAACTGTGCTACTTCCACAAGTGGTACAAATTCTTCAATTTTCATGGGAAGAACATCAGTCGCTGTGGACAGTTTTTTGAAATCACTGGACCAACACAAGTCCCTTATCACTGCATGTTTGCAGGTACTTTTGAGTCTGACTCAACTGATGAGGATCAAGAGTATTACACTCGAAATATAGTTTTAGTCAATGGATTGACTATGGGACATTTGACAACAATGTCCGCCATTGAACCGCCGGTTTTCACGAAAATATCACTGAGAGCGTCGGACGCACCATTTGAGCTGTTAGCAAAGGTCACAGCCATTACGTTTAATTCTACTGATATACAAATGGTTGTGTACGATAACTCGAGACCAATTCAAAGTGTTCTAGTAAACGACGACGAGTACTTTCAAAATGAAAATGGGGCGTTCAACGTCAAAAGAAAGAAGAGCATCATCGACACAGTGAAGTTCGTTGCAATTGACGGAGAAATATTTCTGGCATATGTAACTACTCTTTTCAGAATTGGAGACGCTTTTGCACAAAACCCGTTGACACAGATAAAAGACGATCAGGTCTGTTCATTCACACCAAATCCAATTTTATTCGACGAAGAACAGACAACATCAAAATACGACTTCTCGTCGTGGAAAATATTGACTGTTTCTGGGACTAATTCGACTACATACATTTCGCATGACAAAAGTGTCGATTTTGTGATGTCTGATACTGAAATATCTATATACTTTTTGTATACTACAAAGTTCATGGTATGGAGCACTTACAGATTTCTACTCTGTGACTTCTCGGCCACTAGTCAAGTCGTGCTCGATAGAGTTTTTCTCACTACGATGAACTATTCTGACACGTTCAGCGTGATTAACATCAACCCTCCATTTGATCAATGTTCAAACATGAGTTTTGTTCTTCAAAACAGTCTGAATAGTTCCCAGAGTTTAGAGTACAAGTACCAATTTTACTCTTTCATGACACGGCGGTGTCCAACATCAAATAATGTAATTGGTGTGGTTTTAAAAGGAACCAAAGGAAGTATAATTAGACTCCAAAGCACTTCATTAGAGGAAAACATGACGATTGTATCTTCATGTCGTTCGGCTTCTTTAGAGTGTGGTGAATTACAGTGTAATCCTTATGAGACGTTTCCAGAGAGTTTTGTGAATGTTGGGTTTACTCGGGATTGTTTCCCCGCAGATTGTGGGCGTTGTAAATATGGGTATAACTGTACTGCACAAGGGAAGTGCGAAAAGGTGAACAATAAAATGACGAGCTCATCTGCTTTGTCTTACGTAGTTGTATTGTTGTTATTTACACTCTTTGTAATTTAAAACTATATATATAGTTTATTACTGCTGTTGGTGTCTTTTGTGGACAGTTTTTCAAAAAATCTATCAATACCAATGAGGAACTTTTAAAGACCGAAATATTAAAACTATTCAATTTAACATGATCGACTGGTATTTGATATTTTTGTATTGCTTAATTCCATTTGTAGTTGTGTCGTACCCATTTCTTTACAAATGGAAGCACTTGAATGACCTTATAATTGCCGATTTAATTGTGATGTTCATGTTGATCACATACTCGTTAACAGAAACCCCCCAGCCACATTATTTACTTGGAATTACACCAGTCCAAAAAATTATAATGATTGACGTCTTCGTTTCATATGTTTTTGAACTCACAGGGTATGTTAGAGATATCCTGAGCGGGGTGAAGAATCTTGACCATGAATATGAATTAATGCACACGATTCCTGGTGCTATTGGAATTATGTATATTCTGTATGTGAAACAGTTTGGTGGGATCATCGTGAGACTGCTTTTAGACTCTATAACGTACTTAATAGATATGATTCAGGAGTATTACCCAGACTCGAATTTCATAGAGTTTCTCAGAATTTTTTCGTTCATTGTTGCAAGGTCCATCTATTACAGTGTGATGTTATTGTACTCAATTTACGTCATGATAATGCACTGGGAGTTTGTCGACAAATTACTTTTTGTCATGTTCTGTATATGGACTGTTTACTTTTTGTATGACCACATATACATTGGCTTTTGGCTCAAGTATAGATTTCAAATGGCAAATTTCATTCAAAAACATTGTTGCCAGAAAAACACAGAGGAACGTGGAATTGTTCACAACGAGATTAATGACAATTTTATTCAAAAACAAAATGCTAAAGAAAAGAAAGACTGACTTGTTTTATGTGTTATTTCTCCTTTGTTATTTTGGTAAGAAAACAAATTCTATATTTTATAATAAAAGTGTTATAATAGAACAATTATAGTGTTTAACTCATAAATGCAATGGAACAAGTCAGGACTCCAGTGACACGCACGCGCGCCAAAAAGCAGAAAACGGAAGTCGACTCAAAAAAAGTCGCATTAAAACTTCGTGTTGAAAAAAATAAGACAAAAACAAAACCTTTGACAGATGAACATCACGAGAATAAACCCCAAAACGTGATTATCAAAGACTTGCTGACACGGATGAACGACGCACAAATATATGGACTTTCGGATTTTGTTAGCGATGTGTGGACGGGTGAATTGTCAAATATTATTAACGAATCAAATGGATTACTCTTACAGAGATCTTTGTACCTTTTGCAGTGTTTGTACAACAAGCCGTTTGTGAACGTTGATGAAGTGAAAGTCCTTGGGCAAACTGTTGGGAAGGAACAGTTTGAGATCATCACGAATACATTTTTAATTGACCCAAATATGGTCACAAAGGTTCTCTCAAATGCCATCAAAGCCTTTTTCATTGAGGACGAAAAACACAACAAATACGTTTATGTTGCTTCGAGTCCAGGAGCAAATGGAAAAGTTGTCAGAGGGGTAGACGTGTTATTTGCGAAGAAAGAAGGAAACTGGGCGAAAGTCGAACTTGGTGATTACACATATGCAATTAAAATAAAAGAGACAACAGAAATTGTCTTGTTTGACTTGCTTCGGATAAACACAAAGATGTATCTGGAGTGCAAATTACCCGAGCTCAACATTGGGAAATGGGTCAGAAATTTCATGTTTGTTATTTATTGGTGAATTTGGTGACTTTGTGTTGATCTGTTTTCCATTTTATGAAGCACAATGTTTGTTACACAGAATATTTTAAAATGGTATATAGAAGAGATAATAACAATCATAATTAAATCACAAACAAATGGGCGTCTATTCGACAATGGAATGAATGTCACGAGCTCCGTTCCCTTTAAGGAGGTTGACCAACATTTTCATGATTAAGTAGTACCAATATATATGAAGCCCAAGCAATGACAATAACATCGCCATGAAGAGAATGTATGTCGGATATTTCAGCGCAACGGTGTCTGGAACAAAGTTAATAGCAACAGCCCCAGCCGGGATTATGTAGACTGGGAATACAAACAGTCTGAGTTTGGCGTATGCATAGGTGAGAAACACAAAACAGAGAGCGCCCGGTTTTACGTTTTGTAGGTCGATAGCCCATTTCGAGAAGTACATAAACACGTCAACGATGTCGTGGAGCAGCAAAACCAACACTCCAATTCTTCCACAATTGTTTGTGTACGAAAAAGTCATCAAAAACACGGAGCACAGGTGGTGTAATAGTGTTTCGAAGAAGTCGTTTCGTGGGTTAGAAAACAAATGAAAGAACAAGGAGTGAAGGTGGTACCCCAATTCCCAATTATAAAACAAAGCAAGGTACTTTGTTTGTTGTGTTGCTGGAAAGTTATCCCATACACGGGAGATGTCACCCTTCCCCACGCCGAAGAGTACCCTTGGGACCCAATCCTCATTTTTGAATAGTAAGACACCAAGTGGTGCGGTGACAAAAAAGTACAAATTCTTGAAGACGCAATGTGAAAACCGCTCAACTCGTTCTCTTCGGATTTTGTCGCCATATTTCTTCTTTGAAATACACCACTCCCCCATCGGCTGAAAAAAACGCTTCGAGAAGTAATACCTTAGCCCGCTTAATAAGAGTAACACACAGAGCGACGGGAGTAGGTCAAATGCCTTTGGAAAATTTTCCGAAAGAGGAATTGATGTTGTTTGGTACCGTGTCATAGATGCTGGAAAACAGATGGACACCATTAGAATTAGTGCGACAGTCTGGGCAAACGACATCTTGTCTTTGACTGTCTGAGGGGGGCGAACTTTCGTTGTTCTCATCACAACTCGATTTTTATTCCTTCATTTTTCTCGCATTTATGCTTTTGCTTTCGTCTCTTCAATCTCAACCACTCATCTTTCTCTCACTTTGTCCATCTCACTTCGTTTTGTATTTTTCTTTGTTGTTAATTTTAATTTCTTCCATTCATTATAATAAAACTTTTACTTTGGTTTTTGAAAAATGTTTTGTGGATATGATTTACTTTTGAGTTTTGTATTTTTTAAATACCGAAAATACAATCTTTCATTTTATTAAATTAATTAAAATGAATAATAAATTCTAATAAATCAAAAATAGTAATTCACTTCTAATAAATATGTAAAATAATAAGTTATTATTAATTATTTGCAGAGGTTTCCAAAATCACAATCCTTATTACCCACGTCACCATTTCATAACCAAAAAGTTCATTTTCTCTTATAAATTCGTACGTTATAATACCACATTTTCGGCAATAATTATTTTGGAAACGCCTGATTATTTGTTTAATAATAATAATATTAAGATAAGATAAATCATTTTATAAAATCAAAAAAGTTGAACTCATTGAATAGAAGAACAAAGCCAATAAATTCAAACAATTTCGACATTCACCCAAGTCGACTCGGACACCTTCATAAGTTTGACGTAGAGGATACCTTCATTATAATATGCCTTAATTCCGTCTTTGCTTGCATCAACAGGGACTGGCACCTCTCTTCTGAATTGTCCATACAAAATTTCAGTGAAACAAAAGTCTCCCTCTTCGCTTGGCATGACTTTGTTTCCAGCAACAATAACCCAGTTGTTGCTGTATTGCAATGAAAGTGACTTTTTATCAATACCCGGGACTTCGAATTTCAAGAGGTATGTTGTTCCACAATCGAGTAACTCGCAAGGTGGTTCCCAAGTCATTGAATTGAAGTGCCCTACACCTTCTGGATCAATGAACACTTTGTTGTTGGATGTTTTGGAAAGATAACGTGACAGGTGTACCCACTTTGGCTCTGGGCGTGCGAGCTGTTGACTGTTTTTTTCTGGTGGGACTGGTGTGAGTGATACTTGAGGCTTTGGTGATTCCATTATTCAAATGAATTTTCCAGTTTTTTGCGTTCTCTTATGTGCCTAATTTCCTTTTGAGGTCAATCTCACAACGTGGAGACAACTCCATTATTTTACAATTCATTTATAACATTTTTATCATTACTTATAGTTATTCATTTTTAGTATCCACGTGGAGTCTTTTTTTTTGACTTTTTTGAGTTAAAGCAAGTTCTTTAAGATTAACAGCATTTTAGGATTAATCATTCACTTGATATGTATAGTTAATTGATAACTGGTAATAATCAGAGTAAAATGCCGAATTGTATTATTTGTGATCTTTTTTATTTATTAGGCAAAACGTGTTAATGAATATTGATAACTACTCAATATTATCAATTTATAATTCATTTTTTTTAAGTATTTTTAGAAATAATGATTATTTTTATTATATAAAAATTAATTGTTTTTGACTTATAACCTATAGTTTAAATAAATAATATAACTAAACTAAATAAAATAGTAATTAAAATTATTTTTTGAATAGTTAAAAAAAAATACTTTTTTTTTTAAATATTAAAAAAAAACGAATTTATTATTTAGTTTATTTTAATAAGCAATAATTATTATTTAAAAGAAAATATTTGTAAATATTATAATAAAATAACTATAAACATATAATAAAAATAATAATTCAACAACGAACCAATTGATTTTACTTTTCTCATTTGCTGCTTTTTGAGATTTTGTCGATTTTTTTGAGTTCTTTCATTGAGGTTTTCCCCACGATGTTTTGAGCCTTTTGATTTTCTTCTTTTACGACTTTCTTGACGTTCTTGAGTGCGATCTTTTCTGCTTTACCGATGGCCTTTTGCTTTTCCTTAGTGATCAATTTAACTTTCTGTTGCTCATTGAGACCAAGGAGGTGTGCTTTGATTTCGGCCTTCTTTTCGGCCTTTTTCCCGGCCTTTTGAATTTGTTTGATGTTTTGATTTTTCGCTCGTTTGATAGCAAAAGTTGCTTGCTTTTCTGCCTCTTTTTGTGCATTACCAATGACGCCATTCGACTTTTGGACTTGCAACTTCTGGTGGAGGATTTTTTGAGCCATCAACTCCTTGTTAGTTCTCTTTACTCCAAAGATCGTTTTGATATTGTTATCAGTCATCTTTTCCACTCCATGGATGATTTTGTGTGTCGTCTTTGTAATGCTTTTCACGTGTTTCTTCAAACTCTTTGTTTTGTTTGGTGTGCCATTTGAATTCACTTTGATTGCAACTTTCTTCATTTCCTTCTTTTGTGCTTGAACCGCCTTTTTCACATTCTTTTTGGCATTCTCTATTGTTCTAAAAGAAAACACCGGCTTCACTGCATTCGCTTTCATTTCACGAGTTAAATTATAGTTGATTGGTTGTGGGATCGGTATCCCGTCCGTATCGACTTTTTGATTCAAAGTTGTTGTATTTGTCGTCTGATTTGTATTTGTTGCGTTCTTTAAAAGTGTCGAATTGTTTCTTTTGATTTCCGGAAGTGTTAAGTTTTGTAACGAACTTTGTTTTACGCCATGCGTTGCATTCACACTCAAGTTTGTTGTATTCGTTGTATTTTTTGTATTCAGTGAAT